CTCAGGAGCCACAGGCCCCCACACCACAGCCATAGCACCAAGTGCCGTGCCCGCATCTCTACATTCCGTGCCATCGACAGCACGCAGTACGGTCCCCACTGCTTGGCGGAAGTGTATAATGGCGGTGGATTGGTCCCGACGCAAGCAAGCAAGCTGACACGGATCCCTGCTCCCCGGTTGGTAGCCCGTCGCCATTGCTGGCTCGGTGGGCTAATCCATCCTGATACATAAGCCTGCTCTGCTCCAACGGACAAGTCGGTCCGATTAATTGTAGAAGAATTTCAGGTATACTACTATATAAAAACTATTTCGTTCTGCTATTATTGGGGGAGTTAAGTTAGGCCATGTTTAGTTGTCTCAAATTTTAGAATTTGGCACTATGCAAAAAGAAAATTCTCCGTCACATCAAACTTGCGGTATATGTATGAAGTACTAAATGTTGACGAAATCAAAAACTAATTGCATAGTTTGGTTGTATTTTATTTCGCGAACGTTTTGGCTGAATTAATCGGCGATTGGATAATTATTATCAACAAAATAAAACGCTATGACGTAGTAGGACTTACAGTGCGCAAATTCAGCCGGCACCGAATCCGGTGGCCAACTAAACGCGGCCTTAGTTCTCTATTCTCTGCAGATTTTGTGTTCTAGTGGAAGATCAGGTAGTACAATGATTTTGCTTGATCATGTGGGTGCCTGCCTTAACTGGTGATGAAATGATTGTCCGATTGCTAGCCTGACTTGACAAAAATGCTCGACTACTCCTAAAAACTTAATCATGCACCCCCGGCTCGGAAACTGATGCCCAGCTGCACCACAACCCATCATAATGCAAGCTTCCTCCAGACTCCAGCCTGCCAAGCGCTATACTGGAGATGCTTTGCATCTCGCTGTCCTCCGTCCTCCCTGTGATGCCTGACTCGTCGAATGCGACAGAGCATGAGCAGCGCGCTGCGGGTTTGGACGGGAATGGCGCGATGCAGTCCATAAATCCAAGTATCCATCCAACAGCTCGCTCACGTGCTAGACCTGGCTACAGTGCCAGGAGCCCATGCAGGCACAGGCAACACAGACACAGCGGACGAATGGGCCCTCGCCATGCGCACATGCCAAGATGCTCTTGCTCTTCAGTCTCGCGCGGGCGTCTTGTGCTGCTGTGCACCAAGGTGGGTCAGGGATCAGCAGCCAGCGCTCGCCACGAAACTGACCTCCCCTTGCTCGGAACCAACATTTTCTTATCTGCATCCCAGACCGGCAAATCCACACCGCACGGACTTGGTCAGTTGGTCTCCCTATGGATTACTACCGCCGCAGGCCGGTCATGTGCGCCGCATGGCCGATTGCTCCCGACAAAGGCGAGCCTTTTTTTCAAACACCCCCCCCCCCCCTCCCGCACGGACTTCTCGCCGCCCAGGGCCGTGCCCATGGGTGTGCAACCCGTACGTCCGTACAGGGCCCAAAAAATACAGGACCTCACAAAAATAAGCCCAGTAATAGAAGACCCTACGTATTCTAGTGAGGCCAGAGCGGCAGAGCCCAGCTCGAGTCCGAGCACTCGTCTCCCATCTCCGCAAGTCCGCAGCCCTCGTGGCGACTTCACGTGTGTGGCGACGCGCGGCGCTTCGTGTTCATCTCGTCTCCGGCCGGCGCTCGTCTATTCACGTTCATCTAGCTACCAGGCACCAACGATAGGAATAGGGCCGAGGCGGAGGCCCCTGCAGGACTAGAGGTATTGTTTTTTTTTCAATTCCATCTGTATCTCTACCACATATAATGCACCGATAAAACTTCACTAAAGCCACATAAAAAACTGTCTACCATAGTCATGAACTCTTATAAGTGCACCCAAAAAAATACACCCAACAAAACCTAACTTTTCAAATGGAAGAACGAGATTCAATCTGTACACCCCTTCCACTTACTCACTCGTATCCAACTGACGGATCAAATCTCATCACTCACCCCTCCTCCTCCACCTCCTCCTGTCCCACACCCGCCCCACGCGCGAAGCGCAAGGTGTAAGTGTGTAACCCATACACACCTTGTATTAGATTTTTTTTTGTGAAATTAAGTTTGCTGTTCGGGGTATCTAACTTGCGGTTGATGTCGTATGCTGGGATGAGCTTTTAGGTTTGTTTCGGAGAAACAATCTCTGTCATTTCTTAAAGTAGATGGCTGCATCAGGCTATGGTTTTGACAATATTAGCTCTACAAAGTTAAGTAAGCCTTAGCTTCACATTGATGCAACCTACATGCTACTGGGTTGAATTGTGATATATTGGATCACAGCCAGTTTAGGGCATTGGAGAAGGCATGAAGTTTTTCTCTACACGATCCATTAATTATGAAATATTGAAATGACCTAAACATGTATACAGCCATGAGAACTATCTCTGTTTTGCTTTTTTTTTCTTACACCAAGAGTCAGGTAGCTAGAATTGAGAATTTTATTTTTATAGCTGGCTAAATGTTTCTATTTTGTGAATTGTTTCATTCAGCTATAATACTTCCTGTATGGTTGAACTATGTCCATTTGCCTGCAGCTCCAAGCTTGGTCTTTGTCTCCGTTGACGGAATCGACGGAAGACGTCCGAGCTACCTGGGAGACTATGTTGAAGGCTGAAATAGTCGTCAAATGTTTAGTATGCGAGACATTACTTTATTATGCCTTTATGCATGAGTGTATTCCGGATCATATGCGCGGTCGTATACAATTGCGTGAGACTAAAACTATGAAAAAATATCGTCGTTTGGTTGAAAATGGTAAAATAAAGCCGTGGCGTTAGAACGGCACTATACTAGTTGTACTAATTAAATCCTTCGCATGAAAGTCTTGAACTGCTTGTATCATTTTAATTTTATTCTTTTTATCTTTTTGAAGCCATGTCTATTACAAATTAATTTAGAAAATATGAATCTGGTTACCAAAAGTGTAAGAAAAAACAAAGAATGGAGGAGTTAACTCAATCTCAGAACACTAAGAGAATGATATTATTCAAGTAAAGATTAGTTTAAAAGATACTATTCTTGATATATCACATTTGCTCTACAGTATATATATTATTTGATTATATTTGGAACTTTGATTCAGGCCTCACTTAGAGCTCCGAACAGGCCTGTAAATCTGACGGCACGGCCCTGTCGCCAACGTGTACTGAGCGTTGTTTTCTCTTTAATCGGCAAACGCGATGCGCACAACTTTTGCGTGTTCTGGGAACTGAAAAATATCCAGACGTGCAAGGCTCTGCTCAGCTCGTTTTTTGAGAAAGAAAAATATTGTACCGTGCAAATAAACTGGCTTATCAGGCCAGCCGAACACTCCCGAAAGTGACCTGTTGCCTCTTCGGTCCCCCAATCTCTCTGCTCAGTACTTATACATCACGTCCACACCGCACGGTGTTGCTCGTGAGAGGAAGAAGCATCGTCCGGATCGGAGCTCATCAGGACATGGGCGACGCGCGGTCGGAGGTGCAGCTGGCCGTGCTCCAGGACCGCGGCCAGGGCTCGACGGCGACGCCACGGCCGCCCGCCGACGCTGGCTCCGGCGACACCGGACAACAAGAGGTAAGCTCGCTCGGTCTCCCGCGCTGCGCCCTTAGCTCAGTAGCTGTTTGTCTCTTGCTGTATGCACTATGCTTGTATCGCCGGCGTTGATCGGCGCATGAGCTGGCTAGCGCGGTGCAGCCGGCCGGCAGACGAACGGCTGGCTCACGTGGGGCGCTTTGCTTCTTGGGTGTCCCCGTTCGCCAGTCTGCTGGCTGCCTAGCCGCCGGAGAACGTTGACGAACCTTATGGTCTCGGAAACGAATCTTCACTTCTGAGTTCACTTCCGTAGTTAGGAGAAGCTTCATCAGCCCGATAAGGCCCCGTGAATTGATAAATGGGCCGTATGGTCAAGCCATCCAAAGCCCACGTTTGGTCCAGTTCCGGTCAGGTATCCCTGTAGTTTGTAGCTGCAACAAAATATTACAGTGATTGCCATTGCAAATTGCAATGCAGAATTGGTGTCTCTTGGTTCAGCTGCTACTCTGTAATATCTTGTTACGCCTACTAGAGACTGATCGATGTACAATGGCACGACGACGGCGGTGACCGTGTCGCTTAACCACTTCCCCCTGGGGCCTGGGGTGCAGTTATACTGAGGCACCGCGCCTCCACGGCTAGCGTGCCATGGGGAACCCAAATTCTCACATCACAATCCAGCATGCAACAAGTGTGGCCACCCTGCAGCGGTGGCGGTTTGGTGCGCTCCATTGAGGTTTGGGGCATGCTCTTGGCTTTTAATTCTTGTCCAACTAAAATCATGGTAAGCCAAAAATTATGATAAGCCATAATTTAAGTTTGCCAAAATCAAAACTTGTCAAAGTTAGTGCAAAAAATATAGGTGTACAATTGGTTTAGTGACATAACAGTAGTAAAAGTTATTTTTTTCTCTCTTACGCAATTTAATAAATTTCTAGAAACTTGCTAATTCATTGACAATGAGCCAATTGATGACTAAAAGTTTTGGCTTGCCATAATTTTGGGTGCAAAAAATTTGAAAGCCAACCAAGTAGGCCATTGGAGCGGGGGTGACTCCTAGGTAAGCCTTGTTTCATAGGAGATGCCTTTAAGAATTAATATTATAGGGATAATAGGACGACCTAAGAGATCCTCTATCTTTTCTAAAATAAGTGCACATCTTGTACTTTGAAGAATCAAACATTTTTATGTTTGACATATAAAAAAGGTAAAATGTTATGACATTAAAATAGATATTAGATTAAACCTGTCATATATTTTTCATACAGAACCTAGAGAGAAGCATTATTTGGAACCGAAGAAGTATGTTGGAGCATCTCTTCATCTCCTGCACTGCTGCTAGTTTCTATAGGCTAAGAAGTTGAATAGAATATGTAGCTACATCTGCTAGAGATGCTCCTATATTGTCCACGGTCCACACTGCACGGCCTTGCTCGCTAGAGGAAGAAGCATCGTCCCGAGCTAAGGTCCTAAGGACCATGGGCGAGGGCGAGGGCGAGGGCGACGCGCAGTCGGAGGTGCTGCTCGCTGTGCTCCAGGATCACCAACAGGGATTGACGGAGACGTCGCCAGCGTCGCCACCGCCTCCTGCGGAAGCTGGCTCCGACACCGGGCAAGGAGAGGTGAGCTGTTCGGCCTGCACCCTTCTCACCTGACTAGCCGTTTCTTGCGGTATCTTGTGTTCGCCGGCGGCGATCAGTGAGCAAACTGGTTTAGCACGGTGAAGCAGGCTCTGCTCTTCGGTAACGGAGGCCGGCACACGGAACGGCTCGCCAGCCTGCCTCGCCGCCGAACAATTCCATTTCCGTTGACCCCTCATCTTATCTTCTCCGTGACGAATCTTGACTTCTGAGGCCTCATCAATGATTTTCTTCTTTTATTTTCCTGTCTTTTGCCTCATCAATCATCCTAATCATTCTGTTCGCTTGATCGTTTATGTGGCTTATAAGTCGACTGATATTGTTTTTGTTGTGAGTGAAAAACATCATATCATGACTGATAAGCATGGCTGATACGATCGGGTGAACAAGGTGAATGATTTTCTTCTTTTATTTTCATGTCTTTTTTATTTGGTGATGAGAAGGAATTTGCCTCTGTTCCTGGATTTGGAGAAGCTTAGCCTGTGTTCAACGACCGTGACCTAAAATATAAGACTTATTCGTTTTTTTAGATAGCGCTACAGGCAAAGTGTTTAATATCTATTTTTATGTTCTCCAACAACAAGATCCAAAAGATAATTTTTTTTTTATAAATAGGTCTTTAGGAGAGAGAATACTCAGATTTTGATTATGTGCACAAAAATAGGTCTATATAGGTACCGCGTCGGAGACAACGTTATTAAGCTCGGTAAGGCTCATTGAATCAATAAATGGGCCGTATGATAAGCCACCCAAGGCCCGCATTCGGTCCAGTTTAGCCTTGCCAGCCCAAATAAGATTGGCTTCTCGGTAGTGGACCGGGCACCCATCGCTATATCGCCGTCGTGATTTCGTTACAGGTGTAGCCGGAGCAGGCTGCATGGTCGTCTCTGCAGCGACAGGTGTCACCAGCCGGCCGTCACGGGCACCCCCTTCTCTCTGAACACCGCCCGCTCGTTCTCATGACAAATTCGTTTCAGGCGAGTAATCCAAGCGAGTCCTGTTATCGGGGTGTTTGGATACTTCGACTTCTATAGCATCCCGCTTCTTCTGTAGTATTATGAGAAGATAGATACTACAGGCTCAACCCAAATAGCTGCTTGTTCTGTTGATGAATCGTTTTTTAGAGTTCTCTGTTGGTGAATCATCTGTCTCCTTTTCCAATTTTTTACATGTTTCGTGATCATACTTGCATTGGCATGATTTGGTTTCTCATATGATGTGCAGTGTTTCTTTGTTCTTCAATCTCTATCTATGCCGAACACTGCAATCTTGACCTGATACGATGGAATCATTTGACGGATCAATCTGACTCTATGCAGAAGCTCGCCGCCCAGAACACCGCACCGGCAGCCGGTACCGCTCCAATGGGCGAATGCAGCACGGAGTACAGGGGCCTCCCCGACGCCAATGGCGAGGACGCGGGGTCGGTGCCGGTGCCGGCGGCGCTCCGCAAGGTCTCCATCGTCCCGCTCGTTTTCCTCATCTTCTACGAGGTCTCCGGAGGGCCGTTCGGCATCGAGGACAGCGTGGGCGCGGCGGGGCCGCTCCTCGCCATCATCGGCTTCCTGGCCCTCCCCGTCATCTGGAGCATCCCGGAGGCGCTGATCACGGCGGAGCTTGGCACCATGTTCCCGGAGAACGGCGGGTACGTCGTGTGGGTCGCCTCGGCGCTCGGCCCCTACTGGGGATTCCAGCAGGGGTGGGTGAAGTGGCTGAGCGGCGTCATCGACAATACCCTGTACCCCGTCCTCTTCCTGGACTACCTCAAGTCCGCCGTGCCGGCGCTGGGCGGCGGCCCGCCGAGGGCGTTCGCGGTGCTCGGACTCACGGCGTTGCTGACGCTGCTCAACTACAGGGGGCTCACCGTCGTCGGGTGGGTCGCCATATGCCTCGGGGTGTTCTCCATCCTGCCTTTCTTCGTCATGGGGCTCATCTCGCTGCCCAGGCTCCGGCCGGCCAGGTGGCTGGTGGTCGACCTCCACAACGTCGACTGGAACCTGTACCTCAACACGCTGTTCTGGAACCTCAACTACTGGGACTCCATCAGCACGCTGTCCGGCGAGGTGGACAACCCGGGCAAGACGCTGCCCAAGGCGCTCTTCTACGCGGTCATCTTCGTGGTGGTGGGCTACCTGTACCCTCTCCTCGCCGGGACCGGCGCGGTGCCGCTGGACAGGGGCCAGTGGAGCGACGGCTACTTCTCGGACCTCGCCAAGCTCCTCGGCGGCGCGTGGCTCATGTGGTGGGTGCAGGCGGCGGCGGCGCTGTCCAACATGGGCATGTTCGTGGCGGAGATGAGCAGCGACTCGTACCAGCTGCTGGGCATGGCGGAGCGGGGAATGCTGCCGGCCTTCTTCGCGCGGCGGTCGCGGCACGGGACGCCGCTGGTGGGCATCCTCTTCTCGGCGTCGGGCGTCCTGCTGCTCTCCTCGCTGAGCTTCCAGGAGATCGTGGCCGCCGAGAACTTCCTCTACTGCTTCGGCATGCTGCTCGAGTTCATCGCCTTCGTGCTCCTGCGCGTGCGCCGGCCCGACGCCCCGCGGCCGTACCGCGTCCCGCTCGGGACCGCCGGGTGCGTCGAGATGCTGGTGCCGCCCACGGCGCTGATCGTCGTCGTGCTGGCGCTGTCGACGCTCAAGGTGGCGCTGGTCAGCCTCGGCGCCGTGGCCATCGGGCTCGTGCTGCAGCCGGCCCTGAGGTTCGTTGAGATGAAGGGTCTGCTCCGGTTCGCCGTCAATTCGGACCTGCCGGACATCGGCGTTGGCCGTTCACCCGCCTCGGCGGAGGAGCCGCTAGCACCATAGCGAAACCGAGATGGATTTGGCATTTTGCATTTGCGAAGCAAACTGGGAAAAAAAGGTTGGAATGGTGTTCAGGTGATTGTCTCCGGATGACTGCGAGCTTGAGTCGCACTGCAGGTTTGCAACAAAGGCAGGACGGGTACCTGTGTGGCTGTGTTCACTGTTCAGCTTGAACCTGCAGTATTCACCATGGCCCCCGGTTGTAAGTTGTACTGCACGCTGGAGGCCTAGTTCAATTTTTTGGTCCGATCCGATCTCCTAGCCCTGGAACTGGAAGAGGCAGCGTTCTACTCCAGGAAACCCTTTCGTGGCATCATCCGTAGTTCGATCTTCGATCTGAACACTTTGCAGCATAACAACGCTCTGATACGAATGCCTAATGACCGTGTCCAATTTTCGACGCCAAAAAACTGCACACCAGACATCCAACACAACCAAACCCTCTCCCTCAGGGAGCCAACACATCTGGAAGCTACACCCGCACCTCAATAGTTGAGTCAGCAATTGCTAGCTCATATATTAAGAAACTTTTTTTGCGAGTACATTTGTCCCGTTCGTTTGGCTGATAAGCCATGGCTAAAAGTACCGTGGGTTGATTTGTTGTGAGAGTATCTAACAACCTGTGCATGAAACATACTCTCGTACGTATAATCTAACTCAAAACTTTTCACTATTGGTCCCATATCTTATCTTTCCCCCAACTACCTCCATTCTCACCGTCTCTCACGACCACATTCCATGATAAGCTCCAGGCGCCATGCTCGCGCTCGCTCGCCACAACTACAGACTACTTTTCTGCCCTGTGCTTGCGCTCGTGCGCTGTCGCCGTTGTCCCACGCTCAAGCGTAGCCAGTGATGAAAGTGGTCGGGAAAAGGGTCTAATTGTTTTCAAACTTTGTATTCTTACATGGAAACATAAACGGAATCAGGAAAGCTAGTCAGAGAAACAATATCGGAAACACGAGATATCGGAAACGGAACAAACTGATCGGGAACTCATCGATAAAGGTCGGGAGACGAACTCCAAGCAGGAACTCTGACTGACCACTTCAAATCATCAGTACAACGCAGCAGATACAAATATAATGTCCATAGCTGTCATAAGCAGCATCAGCACAAGATAGAACATACCAATACAAGTTCAAGTGTTCGACGATTTAACACGTTAAAATAAGTTCAACTACAAACCGATAAGGCATAACTCATAACCAAAGTTCAAGTTCAGGATAGCAACATGCCAACAGGGCAACACTCAAAACACTAAAGACCAAGTGTCCAGGTCTCTTGCATGACGCCCCTCTCCCTCTTCATCGTCAACGCTGTCAGCAACTTTAGATCATCCTACAACAAGGCAAATGGCAAATGTAGTACACAACAAAGAAAATGTGTTTGAATAAGATGGTTCAAAATCATACCTCGAGCATAAATTTTGAAGCAATGGCCTTAATAACCTTCAGATCACACAGACAATTGAACCAATTTTCTTATCTAAGAAAAAAAAGGACATAAATTAGCAAAGGAAAAGTTTTGTGGGAAAAAATACATGAATTTAAATTGTAGGGGTGTTGTTTTTATGGATTGGTGCTTGTACAGAAGACGAAAGTCGAAATTATCTATCCATTATTAAAAAAAAAGGGGAAACAAAGCTATCAACACCTCTAAAAGCAGCCGCCTCTGGTCATACCGCATAAGGGACGGCTCGGATATTTCTTTTTGAAAAAGTCCATTTTTGTCCTCCAACTATGGTTGTAGTTTGTTTCTAGTCCTCTAACTTGAAAACCAGAAAAAAGGATCTCTAACTCTCAAAACAAGTTAAAAGGCCCTTTCCATTCGACCATGGGGAAAACCCACCACTACCGCGGTTTAATGTTTGACGGGGTTATCCTCCCTTCCCATATCGGATCCTCTGTGCCTCCCGTAGAGATAGCCGCCCTGCACCCCGAGCGTCCGTGTGGCAGGGGAGGGAGGGGAGGGAGACGGAGACGAGATATATCTATCTGAGCCGCTTTATTAAAAAATCGAGGCGGCCAGCGTGGGGAAAGCGGGAGGAGGGGGAGGCCAACAACCTCCATGGTGTCGAGGCGGGTCGGCGCCGCCTCGTGTTCCATGGCGTCGAGTGGTACACGGGGGTGTCCAATGCCGCAACCGGAGCTCCATGGCATCGAGCAGCTGCGCAGGAGGCGGGCGTCGAGGACCGGACCTCCACGGCGTCCCATATTTCTTTTTTCAGCTTAGCGGGCGTTGAGCGGCCAGCAACTCCATGGCGTCCAGATGGTCGAGGCAGCAGGTCGCCCTCGCCTGTTGTTGGTCACTTTGGTCAGTCGCCTTTGCCTCCACCAGCGACATGCTTCCGATTCTTGTTCGTAAACTCAAACCGCTGCGGCGTCCCAAAATTGGGGCTCTCACATCTGGATGAGGAGCTGCGACTGCGAGCCGTGCGGTATCGGGAGGTGAGCGCCGCGGATGTGGGGAAGAAGATAGAAACCATCCCTTCTCTCCCCAACACAAGACCGAGTGATTTCTCCCCAACACAAGACCGAGTGGTTTCTTGGTCCGCCCGAAACCGACTCTCTACCCTCCGGACGGCCTCTTCGTTTGGCGTCCCCGCACTGGTCCACACGGTCGACGAACACGACCGCACTCTCGGCGCCGCGGACAAACGGCGGAAATTTTGAGGAGGGGCTCGGCCCGTGATGGCCAAGCGATCGATCGTCTGCAGCAGCTCAACGCAGCGTGCCACCACGGCTTGGGATCGGGGTGGTGGGAGGACGGCGAGATGCGGGCGGGATCGTTGAGGCGGTCACCGATGGCGTCGATTTCGACCTCAGCCTCGGTTACGATTGAAAGCACCGAGACGATGGAAGCTCGTGATGTGGACCCGGCTCGTCAGACATGGAGACTAGGCCGAAAACCGCGGTCGTGGCGGGTTGACTGTGCCGAAACCGCGGTCGAATGGGCACGAGGGCCAATTTTAACTGGTTTTGAGAGTTAAGAGACTGTGCGTGTCTGATTTTCGAGTTAGAGGGCTAGAATCAAACTACAGCCACAACTATTATGACAGGCGGGCCCAGCTTAGATTTGCATCCACCAGCCGTCGCGAGCGACCACGTTCTGCTCACAATATCCGACCAAACGGCCAGACACTAGCTTCGAGCCAGCGAAGCAAAACACGTTCCACAGAAATCCTTCATCCATCCACCCTTCACCAGTTCACCGCGCTAGTGGCCGGCGTCCGGCGACGATGAGCACCCGCGCGGCAGGATCCGTCCTCCTCCGCCAACTGGGGCCGCGCGTCTTCGGCCCTGTTTCCTCCTCTCCGGCGACGATGAGCCCTGTTTCCTCCTCTCCGCCGAGGCCACCGCTGGCCCTGGCCGGCGGCGGGGAACGGGGCGGGACGGCCGTGTGGGTGCGGCTGCTGTCCACCTCCGCCGCCGAGGCGAAGGAGGAGGCGGCGGCGTCCAAGGGGAACGCAGGAAGCACCGCGGCGGCGAAGGCGGAGGCGGCGGAGGCCGCTAAGGAGGGTGACGGAAAGAGAGACAAAGTGGTGAGCAGCTACTGGGGCATCGCACCGTCGAAGCTGATGAGCAAGGACGGCGTCGAGTGGAGGTGGTCTTGCTTCAGGGTGAGTAGCGCACCGACTAAAGGGCGCGTTTTTCGCTGATCGGCGTCTCAATTGGCGTGTCTGGTGTGCTAATTTTGCAGCCATGGGAAACGTACAAGCCGGACACCTCGATAGATCTCACCAGGCACCATGAACCCAAGGTGCTGTTCGACAAGATCGCCGCCTACTGGACCGTCAAATTGCTGCGCGTGCCCACCGACATATTCTTCCAGGTGATCCCTGCTCGCCCCTCCCATTTCCTTGGAACATCCATGTCAGTCTCCAACAAAACTGGCCAGAGTCACCCTGAAGAATTCGATCTTCTCGAGTATTTTGCTAACATGACGAGTTAATTGGCGCAGAGGAGGTACGGTTGCCGCGCCATGATGCTGGAAACGGTGGCGGCGGTGCCGGGGATGGTGGGCGGCATGCTGCTGCACCTGCGCTCGCTCCGCCGCTTCGAGCACAGCGGCGGCTGGATCCGGGCGCTGCTGGAAGAGGCGGAGAACGAGCGCATGCACCTCATGACCTTCATGGAGGTGGCCAAGCCCAAGTGGTACGAGCGCGCGCTCGTCCTCGCCGTGCAGGGCGTCTTCTTCAACGCCTACTTCCTCGGCTACCTCATCTCCCCCAAGTTCGCGCACCGTGTCGTCGGCTACCTCGAGGAGGAGGCCATCCACTCCTACACCGAGTACCTCAAGGACCTCGAGGCCGGCAAGATCGAGAACGTCCCCGCGCCGGCCATTGCCATCGACTACTGGCAGCTCCCAGCTGATGCGACGCTCAAGGATGTGGTTATCGTGGTGCGCTCCGACGAGGCGCACCACCGCGACGTCAATCACTTTGCGTCGGTATGTCCACTCCGTTGGCAAGAACAAGATTACCTCTACCGAATCTTAGATGGTTCAAACGAAGTATTACGTATGTGGTGTCTGAATTCCTTTGCTTCTGATGTGCAGGACATTCATTTCCAGGGTATGCAGCTCAAGGAGACACCTGCGCCGCTTGAATACCATTGAATAATCTGGATGCTTGAGAATTCCAGTTCTTCATTTTTTCTAGATGTAGGTTGATGCTTGAGAAATAAAATGCTTGGCTGCTATGAGTAGCAAAGATCTCGTGGGTTATTCCTAAATCTTTTACGTGTGTGTTTGTAAGTAGAGATTCAAACATTGATACGTGCTTGACGCTGGAGCTCACTGAATCTTCTCCTGAAACGTACCATTGACTTGGTTGGTTCCGCATTTTTGTTGTTTGATCTGAAGTTCTGAACCTTGTTTTCGGAAACCTTTTATTTTCCAGTGGCCACTTTCCGCCAGGATAGTGCTGTTTAGCAGCTAAATGCAGCTACCCATACACGACTAAGGCCGGCTTGATGGAGTTTGGCTAGCTGTGTACAAGGAACCATTTTTAGGCCCGTGTAGATCTCTTAAGAAAAATAAAAAACAAGACAAAAATAAGAATGTGATTCAAACACTTAAAGAATTTAACTATCTACCATAAACCTACTATTTGGAGATTTTCGCTATAAAAAGACAATATATAATAACGGTGAGAATGATTATAACTATGAGAATGAGATCTAAACACATCTTTTTTATATATATCAAGAATCCAGATTCTACCTTCACTATATAGAATGTCACTATGACAATGAGATCCAAATAGGTTCTTTTTTTTTGGCGGATAAATAGGCTCTTGTTTGTATTAAACTATGAGCCGATAAAACAATTATTTTTGATTTCATGGGTTTTGACTCCTCCGCGCACTGTAGTAGAAGAAAGAGTCGTTTAGAATGTGCTAAATGGGCCTAACAGTCTTGTGCTGGGTTGCTGCCCTTGAATCCTCTGGAGGCACAACTCTAGCAACTTCGACATAAGAGCAGCTCCAACAGAGATGCTATTTTTGTTTTTAATCCAGTTTAGATAATTTGTGGTATAAAATAGACTCCAACAGATATTGTATCTGACTTTCTAAAATACCCAGCCGGCTATCCCATGAATTCCGCTAGGTAAATAAAGCAAACCTACGACGCTCGCCATCGCTCCTCCCGCGTGATTTCCCGGGTGCGGGGAGTCCTTCCCGCGAGAGAGCGCTTCGCGCGGCTCTATTCTCCCGACACCCCGCCGGTACACTGCTTTATCTGGCTTCGACCCTTCCTGTCCACAACCACCGTCGTGCTCTACGGCTTCGTCGCTTCCCTCTAGGCGCCGGTGCTCGTCAACATTGTCATGGATACGCAAATTCACGTAGCTGCGTGCCTGCGTTCGCCATCATCCTCCCTGTCCCCGTGCTGCCCCAGTGCCCCACACGGCCGAGCTGCGGGAGGAGGCGGTCATGGCGGCGCTGCGGTGGCGATGGGAAACAGCACGCCTTAATTGGTCATCGAGATCAGCCGCACCCGCACTGGGGGCTCTGTGGAGGCCGCGAACTCTGGCGCCATGTAGCAAACTCAGTATGTCACTGGTTCTCATTCTGCCACCCACCGCACTTGCACCTGCTCCATGAGTAGCGAGACTAGCAGCAATGCTGTTCTTTTAATAGAGTACTAGGCTACTACTCCAGTAGAACAAATCGAAGAGATCAGCAGCTAGCTCTGGAAATTGCAGTGATCAGACTTGACAAAGTTCATCGATATTGTGCTGGAATATACAGTTTTGTACTGAGCCATGTCAATGATCTGTACTTTGCAATGTCATCGATATGAACTCTGTAAAGGAGAGCACGATGAAGATGCTACTACCTGTGTTTCAGGCACCATCACGGTAGTTTGCCCGGTTGGGATTTGGGCAGGTGACGTCGAACTTTTCAATATAGAAGATGAGAAATAGCTAGGCTGTTGTAGAGTCCTCTTCTTTTGAGGACTTTTCTATTTTACAGAATAGCTAAAATATGGAATTTGACAACTAATTTTAGACAATCTCTTGGAGATTAAGAGCCGGAGGAGCCACACCAAACACCGTAAATGGAGGAGCCGTTTTTTTGCTGCATGGAAGAGCAATCAAAGCACTGCAATTTGTGGCTCCTCTCTCCGTCTTCCGCTCTTCCGGAGAAGCACTTGCAGGAGGAGCCGTGCCAAGTAAGGTTACCTACTCAAATAGTGTGAGTACTTGCTTTTTATGTTAATTTTTCTTTTAATTGAGAATATCTTTTTAATAGTTTTGTTTGTTTCTTTGATTATCTTTTCCTTCTATCTGCTTCTGTTGCATATATTGACATGAACTCTATATAGCTATCATTTATCGAATCCTTAACTATTGTCATCTTCCTCTGTTCTTCTTTTTGTCTCTCACTTGTCACTTCTATCATGTGGCTGTGCAATTTTCTACTGAGGCTAAATCAAGGTGGACCAAATTTCTCTTGGTGAGCTCCATTTCCTCGATAAAACTACTATCCAAGTCTCTTACAAATTGTTCGGTTCCTTAGTCCTGTAATCAATTTCAATTTTCTAATCATGTTTTATCTTCTCTTCTCTAGTAGTACTGCTCATGTCTCCTGGAGCCACTTATACCTCAAGCAACCACTAACCGGTCCGTCATCATACCAACATCCATTGACACCTAAACCTTCTCAGCCATACTATGGAACCACCACTATAATGCAAATGTGTTGCTGATCTCAAGCATGCTGCAAGTACTCTACCTTCATATCGATCATGCTGTGATTTTTGTTTGTGACGATCTTCATTAAGAAAAATGATTTGTACTGCTTGTCAGTCTCTCACGCATAAACATTGGAGAATGAATGGATCGGTTGCACGTAAGATATCAAAAGCCAATATCTTTCTTCCATTTCAATGATAGCTATAAAAATTTCTTCCCTAGGCTACATATTCTTTTATTTTTTTAGATTAATCTTGTAATTTTTAGACCATTTCAACAACGTATGGCTCGTTTTAACGCTGTTGTATAGATAGATGCTAAGCTCCAACTGATCCGATTTTGCCTGCTTATTTTTACACAAAGCGATAGCGCAAACAATCTATTATGGGGAGACGCAATTTCGATAGGAGATGTGAAAAGGGGAATCAGGGGTGCCGAACCTGCTTGCAAACGGCCTGCTGCAAATGCTGCATGGCCCCATCTTGCAAATGCTTTCACTTTCTACTCCAGATCCGTATGAAGTATATAAAGAGATCTTGTATAAGATTAGCTACGCTTATTCGGAGCCTCTCACCAAATTTTACATTAGCAATACGCTGGCCATCACCGTAAACAAAGCATCCTCAGGAATCAGGATGGCCGAAAGAATTTCTCACAAACACAAGGGCAACTCTTAGATTAAACTATCCCGTTGCCTTTCCCTTTCTACTGATTTTTTTCACCTCATGTGCTGATTCATCTTCAGATCCGCTGGAGCCCGGTGATCGTAGCCGCCTCTGATGTTGAGGTCCAGTAGCAGCAGCCCTTCATCCGTAGCGCACTTGACATCGTCCCCGTCCTGAACTCCATGGTACAGCTGAAAGCCTAGATTATTGCTCGCTCTGAGGCTGTCCTCGGACATGGCTTTCGCCAGCTCGCCATTGTTCTGCTCGCACACTTGGGTCACGTTGTCCATGAACCCTGAGAGCGCGAGGTTGAAGTCCGTCAGCTGCGACCTGGTTGCTTCTAGGTTCGCGCCTCCAGTTGCGTCGTACGAAAGGTTGCTCTGGGCTTTCTCGAGTATCGTCTGCAGATATTTGCCTTGCGCCTCGATCCGCATTTGCAGCTTCTTCTGAACCTGCATGTGCAAAACAAATTAAGAGGTCAACATTTTGTGTTCGTGACTGCAGTAGTTGTACGTAGCAGAGAAGGTTTCTGGGTAGTCTAACCTCGAGCTGCTCGTGCAGTTTCCTTTGGACTTCAATTTGGTACTTCAGCGCATCCGCAAGTGGCGTTTCTCTGATCCATGTTCAGAAATGATAAGGCGAACGGAAATAGGAGAATCATAAGTTCATAACCGAGATGAATAATGATGTAAATCCACACAATGACACAAATGGAAACCATCGGGATACAATTCCTTTTTCTAAAAAAAAAAGTGGTTCAAACATCGGATAGTGAGTATATATGGCATGCAGCCTAGCAGACCGCAGCTTCAGTTGGGTGACAGAAAATACTGAAATAGTCTAGTCCGACTCTGGAACTCGAATCCTAATCCAGCATTTAACTTAGGGCGTGTTTAGTTCCGAAAATTTTTGGCTTTTGGCTACCGTAGCACTTTCGTTTGTATTTGGCAAAAATTGTCTAATTATGGACTATTTAGGCTTAAAAGATTCGTCTCACGATTTCTCGGCCAACTGTGTAATTAGTTTTTTTTTCGTCTACATTTAGTATTCCATGCATGTGCCGCAAGATTCGATGTGACGGGGAATCTTGAAAATTTTTGGGTTTTGGGTTGCATCTAAACGGGGCCTTAGTATATTGTATCACTTCATTGCCCGCTCTTTCTAGGTTGTTTTTATAACATTAAAAATGCCACAACTCTAGGCTTTGATAAATTCATATATTCCCTTACACATCAACGTCCCTTTCTTCTTCTTTCTGCGAGGTCAACGTCCCTTTCGTATGACTCCGTCAATCATTGGCCGACCAGTACGATTTAAGTTAGCACGTTTGTTTAGGAATTTTGCAAGGCATTTCTCTTTTATAAGAATAGACCACAAATTAGTAATGATCTATAACTTTTGTTTTCAATATTTCAGACCATGCTGACTATATGCTGCTGCTATTTCGTTCTATTGTACTTCATGGTCATCAGTCCTTTTGACACCAATCGAGTTACTAGATTGTTACTACAGAATTATTGGTGTCTCAGGGAGAAGACAAATGCATGTTGGGCATCATGGCGTTTGCTGTTAAGCAGACACGCATGAATTTATCCATGTAGTACTGATGTTACAGGAAGCATGCAGGATAGGATTTTGACACCTACTACTCACCCCGTGTTGTTACAGGCCGTAGATGGAATGCTAGGAGGTACTGGTGTGGAGAAATTGATGCCCTGCGCCGCGAATGCTGCGAGGAGAGCAAAAAGAAAA